TAAATAATTTTATTGATGGTTAGATAATAAAATTATAGTTATTCTTTAAAATTTCGACATGTTATTTATTTGTATATTATTGTCAACTATGATAGTGTTTTTATCACTTTTGTTTTGTTATGTTTAAAAAATGAACTTATTGTAAAATATTTTTCTATTACATAGTATGTTAAATAAACTATAAAGCCTTAGAATGAAAATTAGAAAAAATCTCTTGATTATGTAAGGGATTTATTTTTTGGCAATTGCTAAATTATTTTTTAAAAAAAAAAAGAATTATTATGAGAAAATTGAATTCTAAAAAACATGTGTGTGTATTTTGTAAATATTTATACTCAAAATTTTCTTTTGAATTTCATTACATAAAGAAGACTACTTCTATAACTTTTATAAATAATAATAATTACATTATATGACTGTAAATTTTATAATAAAATAATAATTGATTATTATATGGTGAACAATAATTAATAAAATTTTTATTTTTTACTATATCAATGAATAAATATGTATTCTAAAATCAAATAAATATTAGTATGACGTGTTAGCAGAATTATATATTAATTAACATGTTAATTTTTTAGTTACGCCACTTATTAAAGATGTGAAATATGGATGATCCAAGCCTATTGTTTTTTTGTCTAGACGTACAAGTCCTATAGAAATAATTGATTTATTATATGTATCACGTGTATCGCACGAGGTATGCACTAATAAATGACCTTAAAATTGTGCACCTCGTGCATCACCCGTATTCACATGTTGGCCTATTACAGGTCACGTACTATATATATCCCGTATATTTTTTTTATTCATTTATATAATTATAAAAATGGATAAATGACCTTAAAATTGTGCACCCCGTGCATCGCACGGGCTTTCTGTAATAGTATTTTTACTAGTACAACACCCGTGTATTACACGAGTGTTTGCTAATTTTTTTTCTTAAAATATAAAATTAATGAGAAAAAGTAGTTGAAATTTTCAAATACCTTTTACAAAAATATATATATATATATATATATATATATCATTATATATTTAATATGACACTTTTTATTTGTGCAACTTACCTGTCATATTACAATAATTTTTTAACTTACAACACATAACTACATTACAAATAAATATATCAATTGATAAATAATTTTATTTTTTTAATGAATTTTAATAAATATTACTATTATTATTTATTATTATAAAGATAAATATAAATTTATTTCATATATACAATATAGATGTCAAATCGAAGATCATCAAAAGATGATTAATTTGATATATAATATATGTAAAACCGATAAGTAATACAAAAGTTATCAACTTTAAAATATATTTACAATTTAATAACTAATTGAAGGAAACAAATCAAAGTCGGGGATATATTAGTCACTTAGTGTCTCACTATGTAAAATTACAAATAATTAAAGGGTTATATTAGTGTTCATGTGAGATTTTACACCATATTCGTATAGTATCTAGAGCTTATTTGTCGCATTATTGGTGTATAAATTGCATATTTGTGCTTTAATTCTATATTTGTTGGAAAGGTATTACACGTGCTTGTTTTGTAGATATTTTCACATATTTGTAGAGTTTTGGCTATTGGAGGAGCATGGTGAGTGCCTAAGACTCCCGGGATGATGATAGATCGATGAACGGGTGAGGAAAATGGAAGAAACGAGCAAAACGGACAAAAACGTGCATGTTGGGGTGTGACACGACCTGTGACACGACCTGTGACACGACCAACCAGCCCGTGTCAGAGCCCATGTCACCTCAACAGAAAGAATTCGAGGCCCAGATACCTGACACGACCTGTGACACGGGCGTGTCAGGTCGTGTCGCGCGCGCGGACAGTTTTTAATCTCTTGCCTTTTTGGATAAGGAGAGGAGTTTTGGACATTAAAAAGAGAATATTAACCCTATTCTGAGGGAGAAACACAGAGAACACAAGGAGAAGGGCTTGGAACACAGAAGAGAAGCAATTGAGAAGAAGAGAAAATCAACCACAAGATTTCTAGTTTTTCTTTCTCTCTTTTGAATTTATTTTCTCATGATGATTTCTAATATGTCTATGCATGTATTTGAATTCAAACATGAGTAGCTAAATTTCTTTGATTCTAAGACATGGTAGTTGATTGGTCGGAAAAAGTGTGTATTTTATATATTTATTAGCGTATTTTTATATGCTTGATTTTACCGCACTTATATATTTTTCGACTTATTTATTATTTGGATGAATTTATTCGCCTTGATGTTTTTCATATTATTTTCAACAGGCTAGAGGATTTTTGTGGATGGCGAAATATTGGACTGGTGCTCGCAACAGTTGGACGCCTATACAGCTCACTAAAACATTAAATTTCATTGAGATTATTCGGCTGGAACTTATGAATTGGGCCAGCACATCTTTATCCCAATAAATGAGGAGTGATTTTGGACTTCACCTGTTTGCTGGGGCATTTGATTAGCTGAGAGAGAGACTCACATTGTGGGAAGGCATTTTAATTAATTGCTAGGCACTTGATTTATTGAAACAGAGGGGACTTATTTACGAAAAAAAGGCACCCAGGCCCAATTGTGGAGCAAAAGACCGAGGGAAAAGTTATAAGGCAACCACAGAATTATTTTCAAGGGTCCCGACTCCACATTAGAGAAATATATTCACGCACAGAGCCGCCAGAGAGGAGGATTATTTACGCAAGGGGAGAGCAGTTTCACGGACAGACGCGGGGTAGCCAACGATCGCGGAGGGAGACCGCATCCGCACACGAGAGAGATAATTAATCTCTCTCTTTTATCTTTTTATTTTTATTTATTATGTTAGTTTAAATTTTATTTCTAGTTCCGGGGAAGTTGAACCCTACGTACTTGATGATGTTTGATTGATTTATGCGGTTGATTATTGAGTTATCTTTTTGGAATTGTTTGTGTTATTTTGAATAATTAACCATGATGTGTTGAGTCTATTTAGATTGATCACCTAGATTAGGCTTTACATATCTACACCTGAATTAGGCCTTCAATCCGTAATTGTTGATGTGTTTAATTCGCAAGTGGTATCCGGAAGATGGTAACTACCGGGGATAACACGGCCTATTTAAGTGAACGAACGCGTCACTACTTAGTCTAGCCTATTTTTCTAATGCGTAAAGCGGCTGATTGTATTAAATCTAAGAAGCGTTTTCTAGACTGTACAAGAGGTCAGGTCTAATCGTAGAGCGTCTCGCGGTTAGATTAAAAATAAGGAAAAATTCGGGTAACAGACCGTGTCGTTGCCTAGGGCTAGTAATTTCATAAGATAGCGAGATTTGATGCCAGAATTGATTAGATGAGTCAGTCGAGGGTGTAGACGGAACCGTGAACTAGAAATTTCTCTTATTTATTTTATATTTATTTTTATTTTCTTTCTTTATAGTTTTAGGATTTTTAGTTAGTTTAATTATCAAAACCCAATCCCCCCATTTACCGCTTTTATAAATTCAATTAATACAAGAAAATTCACAATTTGATTCACACTCCCTGTGGGTTCGACCCTTGCTCGCCACTACTACTAGTTAGTAGAGGTTTGTCGAGGAAAAATATAAATATTAATTTTGCCGCGTTGCGACGCGCGGTCAGTAGTAGATTAATAGTTTGGGATTTTTGTATGATTTATTATAGTTGATTGTTTTCTTTTGAACCCTATTCAAATATTTTGTTCTTATTTCATGAATTGCAATTGGCCACTGCTTTTACATGTTTGATGATATTGTTCATAATTCGAGAGATGAGTTCAATATTAGATCTTTAATATTTGACACAATTTATTTGCTTGAATCGAGAGATTAGTAGATAATTGTGAGGATTTTGGGTCTTTTAATCTTTTTGGAGTTGAATTGCATGTGTTGAGTGGAGACGCTAATATATGTGATTTAATCTACGGTTTTATCGATCTCGAGAGGGACGATAGGCTAATTTGGTGATCATCTTATAGGGTAGATAAAGAAAATAGTTAATTTTGATATATCTGAAGGAACCCAACTGTTAATTAAACCCATAGTCTTAGAATCTACCATTCCCATATAATTCTTCTTAAGTGTTTTTCTAGTTGTTTTCTTGTTATCAATTTCTTATCTTTTGAATTATTTTCTTAGTTAGTTAACCAATCTTATATTCGGTCGTCTAAATAAAATTGGCACTATCATAATCTAGTACTTGATTAATTGGTTGTTTGGTCTCTTGGGATACGACCTTGCTTGCCACATACTACGAGCGAAGCCGTACACTTGCGGTCGAGCATTAAAAATATAGGCGAACAATTAGTAAAAGTGATATTAAAATACTTAAGTTATAAATAATATTTATGGAATGTCTGAACCTAGATTATTAATTATTAATATATCATATTATTTGTCCAAACCTAATTACGAAACATGATTTTTCGCCAAGTAGGATTACGAAGCACCAGAAGCAGCCACGTAGGCTCAACGCATTCTGAAATTATATATAGGGAGGATATCAAAATCTAACATAATGATCACATTTTATTTCACAAGAGAAAAACATGTGGACCCCACTTATGTTGTCAAATTTAACTCAGTCAAATTTCACGCTCTGGGCATTAATTTCAAAAGGCTACATGAATTATCTGAAAACCAAATATTTTATTTCAAGTGGCCAATTTTTTCTAAGGTAGAAACAGAATTTCTACCATAGCCATAGCTGTGTGAATTAGGTAAAACTGACTTAACAAATTTGTGTATAAATACATTACTCGATCTCCATTCACCTTCAACTCATCACTCACAACTTACATATATATTCAATTAAAAAAAAAAAATAAAAAAAAATTAACCTCAAATGGCTTCTTCTCCTTCTTACAGAGCTATCATCATCACACTAGCAATCCTATTTATGTTCCTAAGCAGCTCCTCAGCTGATGATCTTTCGAACAATCTTCGCAAAGTATATCCTAATTGCACGAACCTTTTCGGAATTGTGAGAAGTGTCATGGAACAAGAAATTCGAAAGGATCCACGAACAGGCGCCTCTTTACTTCGCCTGCATTTCCATGATTGCTTTGTCGATGTAAGCAATTTTCTGTTTATTTTTTTCGCATTTTTCTTTCTTGTTTATCGTTCACCTACGCATTAAGTTGTTCTAAAACAGAGCTTAAGTTACATATAACATGCAACATGATTAGGGGTGAGCATGAGTCGGTACGGGTCGGAGATCGATAAATCTCCGGAACCGTACCGAAATTCGGAGATCACTAAAATTCGATCTCCATAATCGTACTGAAAAATCGGTTCGGTATTCGAGACTATCGGAACGGTTCGGTTCGATTTGGTTCGGTTCGGTTATTCGGAGATTTCTAATTATTTTTAATTTTTTTTTGTATGACCACCTAGTTATATTTTATTTTTTATATGTTTTTATTTTTTAAGTCCCACGTTCATTAATGTAAGAAACTGAGGGAAAAACGGGTGCGGACACACTAACATGAAGTGCACCATGAACGGGGAAAGCCCAGATGAAGCCCAAGTGGAGTTCCATCCCAAAATTAATTGGTGGAAGGAGGAGTAGCTTATTAGACTTATAAGGTGGGTCTATTTTCCATTGATGAACAATGTGAGACAACTTACAAGTGATATTTTAACACGCCCTCTCACTTGTGAGTCATTCGGAAGCCCAAGCCCAACTGGGTTGGGTGCCCCAAGCCTAATAGAAGCAGACTCCCATAAACGGGTACGTGGAGAAGCAGACTCCCATAAACGGGTACTTCATCGCACAGTCCCAATAGAACCGGCTCTGATACCATGTAAGAAACTGGAGAAAAATGGGTGCAATCCCAATAACATGAAACGTACCATAAGGGAGGAAAGCCCATATGAAGCCCAAGTTGGGCTTCATACTAAAAATTTTATTTTTAAATCAACTTTAGAAATAACTGTACATTTTAGTTAAAATTAAATTTGTGCAACTAAGATTGAAAATGTAAAATTCGAACAAATATAATATAGTTGTTTATTAAAGTAATCTTTATTTAACCTTTCATACCATGTTAGTTATAAGATAGAATAAACTAAATATCGACAAATTTAAGTAAAGCTCATATGTTTTTTTATAAAAATATTTCTTTAACCTTTCATTCCATTCTAAATATTTTTTTTAAAGCAAGAAAAATTCAATTGTAGATTAACTCCTACTAGCATTAAATATAAGTGAAGTTTAATTGTTATTACTATATTTTATTTGCATTTTTTAAATTCTCAAATTATATAGGATAAAAGTTGACATAAAATATATTAATAACACATTTTTATAATTCGGTTCTTAATTTCGGTTCTTCTATTCGGTACGGTTTGGTTCTCGGTAAGAATATTTGTGAAATCTCCAGAATCCTATCAATTATTTTTTTCGGTTCGGTTCGGTTAGGTTCGGAGAAAGTCAAACGGTCAACGATTATTTTTCGGTTCGGGGTGATTTCGGTTCGATTTTCAGAATAGTTCGGAATTCTCTGAGTCTCATGCTCAGTCGCGCTAAGCATGATTACTGTATAAAGTTTTTCCATTTGACTCGTGGGCATTAATTTTGACTTTCTGGCAATTTCTTTGATTAATGTATTTATCCACATTTATTAATCAAAATGTACCTCAATCTCATAATTCAGATGGTATTCATCTTCTGTTTTTCAACTTTTTTTTCTTTCTTTTTTTTTTTTTTTTGTTTTTTTTATATACTTAGGGATGTGATGCTTCAGTCCTTCTAAGCGACACATCGACTTTCACGGGAGAGCAATAAGCGCAGCCCAATAGGAACTCCATTAGAAAACTTGAAGTAATCGACCAAATCAAGTCGGAGGTAGAGAGCAAGTGCCCGGAAATGGTCTCTTGTGCCGATATCTTGGCCATTGCTGCTCGGGATGCTGTTGAAATCGTAAGCTATCGTGACTTTCTAACAAAAAATAAACTATAGGCCAATTATTTTTTTAACAATGTGTATGTGTATAGATCATTTTACATAAACTTTGTTCGATACAGCTAACACATATTTTTATAGTTAGAATTACAACACTAACTGATGAATGATATTAAAATTTTACAGCTTAGCAACTATAAGCTTCATTACAATGTGGAAATTGGACGATTCGACTCCAAAACTGCAAACAGAACTGCAGCAAACAATTTAATTCCTCGTCCAACTTGGAGTATCAGTGCTCTTATCACAAACTTCAAAAATCATGGCCTTAACGAAACGGACCTTGTTCTTCTCTCAGGTTCGACTCTTCTAAAAATAAGCTCCATTTTATTTTATTTTTTATTCTATCTAATATGATATATGTGTGTATATATATAGGTGCTCACACGATCGGGCTAGCAAGATGCACGAGCTTCAAGAGTCGGTTATACAGTGAGACCAATAGCCTCGACAAAAAGTTTGCCAAAAAACTACGTGAAATCTGCTCGCCAGATGATAGTAAAACCGGAAACAACACGGCCAGTTTGGATTACCAAACGCCACACTTTTTTGACAATAGTTATTACCAAAACATCATCAATAATAAGGATGTCCTCGCGTATGATACCTAATTTCTCACTAACAGTGACACCGCAAAGCTCGTTCGTAAATATAGCAATGATAACATTGGATTTTACCAAGCTTTTGGTCAAGCGATGATCAAAATGGGCCGCCTTAGCGGTACCACAGGGGAGAAGAAGAAGGAGATGGAGATAAGGAAAGTGTGTTCGAAGCGGAATTAGAAAGTTCCATCGGTGGTTTTCGTGACTATTAATATCATACTTATAAATTAAGCTTATGTTTTGGAGTTTGTGTCTGTGTTTCTTGTTTTGAGTTGTGCCTTTTTTCAGCAATTGTTTGTAACAATTGTCATGACTCGTGTGTGTGTGTTGTTGTACTCTGTTTTTATGATTAAAACATGGAATAATTTTAAAATTGGTCCTATAATTTGGCCACAGTCCAAAAAACCACCCCTATATTGACCACTTTCAAAATTGGTCCTATAATTTTAGAATTTAATCAAATTTGGTCCTTTTTTAATCAAATTTGGTCCTTTATTAATTATATTTTAATCCATATTCCGGATAAAAATGACCAAATTTGATTAAATTTTGAAATTATAGGACCAATTTTGAAAGTGGTCAATATAGGGGTGGTTTTTTAGACTGTGACCAAATTATAGGACCAATTTTGAAATTATGCCATTAAAACATGAATGACTTTAAAATGAACAATATAATTAGTAGGAAAAGAGCTTCAAGTGATGGGGATGAATGTCCAAATAACATTCTTATGAAAATAAATAAATAAATAAATAAATAAAATGTACAAAAATGTGAGTGCCAAAATAAGAAAATGAGGTACAAGTTAGAATCTCAAATTCTAAATTCCAAATGACCAAACAAATTTATTAGCACAAATTTTTTTTCAATTTTCAACATCCCATATCATCAATTTCCGCCCGCATATATATGATTGGGCCAAGCCCAGTTACTTCTTCATATGGGTTAGGTTGGGCCGGCCTACGAGTTAAGGGCTCAAAATTGTTAGCTCTAAGAATTTTGGCAAATAATATGCTACCTCATATTTTTATTATTTGTCATTCTTGCTTAATTGATCATTTATTAAATAAATGCATTTTGGATATTTTGCTCATATTTTTCTATTTTTAACTCTTCATCTAATACACAGTGTTTTTTCATATTTCATCTCCATTTTTCTTATAACATTCATTAAATAGAGTTAATATTGGGAAGAAAAAAAATTCTTAATTAGCGTGTTGTTTTTCAAAACGACAAATTATAAAAAGATGGAGTCTACAGTTGTCATATATTAGTTGCTCTATATAATTATGTTCCTTTGAAAGCGTTCCAAGATGAGATATTGGGGGATGAAAGTAGACAAGTGAAGAATGAACATGTATTTTCTTTTCATTGATTGTAAGTATTATTGTAAGGAAAACAAATGTTGGGAATTGTGTGAAGACTACTAGCTAGCAGGATGCCACATTTTGAAGCAATCTGCAGGTGACTTTGGACCAAATTCAGTCACCATCTCCATGTGGGAGATGTTGAAGTTATTCTTTATTACTCGAAAAATGCTAGAAGTACGTAATAAATGTACATAGAGGTGTACATAACACTCACATAGAGTAGGTCCACTTGATTTTTTAATTTTGATAGGTCCCACTAAATGTGAGTGTTATGTAAACCCCTATGCACAATATATGTACCTATAGCATTACTCGTACATACTCTCAAGTACATTTAAGTTATTTAATAATAACGTGATCTAGTACAAGAGGGAACTTCTTCAAGAACCAAAATAAATAATAGAGTTGTAGATGAAGAATTGACTGTTTGAGAACTAAAACTACTTAAATACGGTCAGCCATCTTTATAAGCAAAAGAAAGGTTGCTGATAATGCAATTCTAAAAGACATGCTATCTCTGCTTACAGTAAAAGACTACCTTTTCTTTTCGTCTCTTAATTATACGAATTGAGGGAAATATTACGGTCCCGTTACGGAACGATTTCGTCGGGATTTGTAACCGTTAGATCATCGTGTAACCGTCGAAGATAGTTGATCTAACGGTTAGAAACCCCGACGTGATGGTTCCGTAACGGGACCGTTGCATCTCCCACGAATTAAATTCGCCATTATTCTTAATTCTCTACTCTCCACTTGAGGCTACTCAACGAAAGACAACGCTTATCACCCAGCAACATACAACTGATGTAGAAAGATTCATACTAAAATAAGGTCCTTATTAGCAAGATCATATAATGAAGAACATTTGTACATGTTAAACACTAATTTACCTTCGATAAAAAAATCTTCATGGACCAAATGTATATAATTCACACAAGATGGATCATAGATTAAAATCATTAGCAAGTATTAGTATATATCAAGTACGGGCCAATAAATTAATTATACAAAAATATAAATTGAAATTCCGAACAATAACAATTTTCAACCAAAATACGTCATATTATTATTATTATTACTGTTATTATCCCCGGTAGATATATCGATGCTGAAGTCAACAAGGGGAAGTCCCGACCCAAGCGGAGAAGGAGGAGGCACGGGTGGCGGTGACGTGGCAATGGACACGACTCCCGAGGAGAGCAACGTGCATATGTGTGGTGACGTGGACATTTCGTTTTGTTGTTGTGCGTACTTATATTTCAAAATCTCGGCCCTCACGGCATTAAGCTCGGCCTGCAGAAACTGAACCTGTTGCTGAAGTGCCGAGATCGCGCCCATGCACCCATGGACCGGGTCCCGCAGCCGCACGTTCGCCTCGTAAACGAGACTGTTAGCCGCGTCGGCCCTTTGGTATTCGGGTACTTCCTGAAAATAATAATAATTTAAGAGTGCATTCGAGAGAATCAAATTAACCAGACCAGAGAAGGTCAAGTGTGTTAATCCAACGGTTAAAAAACAATGTACAAATTTAGGTTTTGATGTATGATATATATATATATATTTATATATATGTGTGTGTACCATGAGCATCTTGGAGACGTTGCTGGCGCCAAAGACCTTGTGAACGGAGGCGAACTTGTGGGGTTCGTGCGGGGAGAAATAGGGAGAGAAAGGGCACTCGTGAGAGCACCGTCGCCTCAGGAGCTTGCAGGCGGCGCAAGGGGTTATTGTGTTTAGGGTTCCGCCGCCGGCCCCAGTCTGAACTCTTATCCCACCTCCGGCGACCTGGTGGTGGTGGTGGTGAGGAAAGCCATCGCTTTCTCTCTTTATTTTCTTGCTTATATCCTCAAATCTCTCCCTGTTGAGTATATATGCATAAGGATGAGGATCAAATATATATATATATATATGGTGAATTGGTGATGATGAATTACCTTTCTGTGGACATTCAGGCATACTAGTATCGGTTAACTGATCCAAACAAGAATTTGAGAGAGAGAAAGAGAACGAGAGAGATTGTGGAGAGAGAGAGAGAGAGAGAGAGAAGGGTGTGTGAGATAAATGAGAGTGAAAGAGTGCTTAA